TTCAGGATGCCCCTTGTCCCTCAGCACCACTGCACTTGTTCTTGGCTTTTCTGGAATGTTCTTGCTCCTCTACTTTGATGGCCAGCTCCTATTCAGACTTCAACTATTAGCGATGTTCCCCAAGCACATCTTCCCTACCCCACATACTAGGTCAACAGCCCTCTGCTATAAGCTTCTCCTTCACAGCACCTCTCCTCATTACAACCAGAATGTAGGTTTTGTTCTTCACAACCACACCTGCCTTCCTAGAAGGGTAAAATCTATACAATTTTTTATTTGTTTTTGTTTTTTGAGAAATAGTCTGACTCTGTTGCCTAGGTTGGAGTGCAGTGGTGTGATCTCTGCTCACTGCAACCTCCACCTTCCAGGTTAAAGTGATTCTCATGCCTTAACCTCCCAAGTAGCTGGGAGTACAGGTGTGTGCCACCACGTCCAGCTAATTTTTGTATTTTTAGTAGAAATGAGGTTTCACCATGTTGACCAGGCTGGTCTCAAACTCCTGACCTCAAGTGATCCATCTACCTCAGCCTCTCAAAGTGCTGAGAATTACAGGCACGAGCCACCGCGCCTGGCCTGAAATCTACACAATTGAAGGAAGTTTTGGCAGCTCAACATCTTAAGGAGTGTCATTGTGAAAATGTATAGGAAAACTAAAATGTTCTAGCAAATTCAGCAGCAGGAAAACAACAACAATACTGGAGTTCTGGGAGCAATGCCAGAATCAGGAGTGAAGTAGGGAGGTGGGCTGGGTGCTGTGCGATTGAAGGCTGTAGCGAGGTGTCAAGTCGGGTGACTGGGAAGGACTTTGGAAGAATAGAGTTTCCATTTAAGGTAGAGAGTTCAAGCTGGGCACGGGGGCTCACACCTATAATCCCAGCACTTTGTAAGGCTGACACGGGTGTATCACCTGAGGTCAGGAGTTTGAGACCAGCCTGGCCAACATGGCAAAGCCCTGTCTCTACCAAAAATACACAAATTAGCTGGGTGTGGTGGCGTGTGCCTATAATCCCAGCTACTCAGGAAGCTGAGGCAGAAGAATCATTTCCTTAGAAATTCCATTTGACCCAGCAATCCCATTACTGGGTATATACCCAAAGGATTATAAATCGGTCTATTATGAAGACACATGGACATGTATGTTCATTGTGGTGCTGTTTATTATAGTGAAGACCTGGAACCAATCCAAATGCTCATCAACGATAGACTGGACAAAGAAAATGTGGCACATATACACCATGGAATACTATGCAGTCATAAAAAATGACGAGTTTGTGTCCTTTATAGAGACATGGATGAATCTAGAAACTATCATTCTCAGTAAACTAACGCAAGAACAAAAAACCAAACACCTCATGTTTTCACTCATAAGCAGGTGATGAACAATGAGAACACTTGGGCACAGGGAAGAGAACAACACTCACTGGGCTAGTTAGCTGGAGGATGGAGGGAAGTGGAGGGATGAGGAGGTGGGGGCGGGAGGATGAGGAGGGATAACGTACACACACAAAGTTATTGTCATCAGCATTTTTCTAGAAAGATTAAAAAAAGTCTCTTGGGAAACAGGCCTGCCTTTATTCCTGGCCTGGGAAGGAATATCAAATCAAGCTAAGATCCACCTACTCCTTTAGAGAAGATATAAAACAAGAGCGTAAACTCTCCATGGAATAATCAACAAAATACAGATATTTGAGAAGATGAATCAGGATCTCTTCAGGTTTAAATAAATTATCATGTATCATCTCTAATTTAAAAACAACAACAACAACAAAAAGAAGAATCATTTCCTTGAAGCTAGGAGGCAGAGATTGCAATGAGCTGAGATCACGCCCCTGCACTCCAGCCTGGGTGACAGAGCAAGATTCCATCTAAAATAGTAATAATAATGATGATAGAGAGGTTTATATACTCAGGACTCTAAAGCATCCACCTGTCTATATGAAAGATCTACTACTGGGCAAGTCAACTCATTACACTTTAGGCCTAAAGAATTTTTCTTCCAGGGAACATGAACATATTTGACAAGAGAAATGTCTGCAGCAGCTGGCAAGATCAAGACCTAATCTGGAACAGTGGATTCACTATATCCGACTGCCCCACCTGCAAGGGTCCACCACAGAAGATCTGGGTGCAAAGTGGAGCACCCAACAAGAAGTGAGAGAAAGAGCAGGGGATGATGAGGAACAGGCCGGGGTGAAGAGGGAAGGCAGGCTGGGCTCCTGCCTGTGCTCCTCTTTCCATAGAAAGAGCTGAACCCCAGGCTCAGAGCCAAAGCTATGGCTAGCACCTTGGAAATTCCCCAAAGTCAATGATTAGCTGACAATCCATACAATGTTTCAAAGAGATGCAATTAAAAGATATTTATAGGCTGGGTGTGGTGGCTATTTGTAGGCCAGCACTTTGGGAGGCTGAGGCGGGTGGATCACCTAAAGTCAGGAGTTTGAGACCAGCCTAGGCAACATGGTGAAACCCCATCTCTACTAAAAATCAAAAAATTAGCTGGGCATGGAAGCACACACCATAATCACAGCTACTCCGGAGGCTGAGGCAGGAGAATCGCTTGAACCTGGGAGACAGAGGTTGCAGTGAGCCAAGATCATACCACTCACTGCACTGTAGACTGGGTGACAGAGCATGACTTCATCTCAAAATAATAATAATAAAGCTTACGATAACATGTTCTGGGGGGAAAAATGGCTAAAAGGTGATTTGATAGCTATCAGCCAACAAATCAGAAGGGCTATCTGATTTCTTATGTTTACTAGATGTTTTCTATCAAATGTGAGGATAAAGAAGGACCAGCTTCAACGTATAGAAGCATTCAGCTTAGTTATGTGGGAAAAAACTTTCTATCTGCAGAAAGAGGTTAAATAATTCCTTTTCTTGAGACCCTGTCACCCAGCCTGGAGGGAAGTGGTACAATCATGGCTCACTGAAGCTTTGAATTCCTGGGCTCAAGCAATCCTCTCACCTCACCTTCCTGAGTAGCTGGGACTTCAGAAGCACATCCCCACACTCAGCTAATTTTTTAAGTTTTTGTAAAGACAAGGTCTCACTGTTGCCCAGACTGTTGAACTCCTGGCTTTAAGCAATCCTTTAGCTTCAGTTCTTGAGACTTTAAGGATAAGATAGACAACTGTTGAGTTTCCCTAGCTTTTGGATACACATGATTATGGATAATTAAGTCTCATATCTAGATCCACTGTATGAGAAACTGACCTTGATTCTAATGCTATATGTTAATTACCCAGTATGTATTCAGAAAGTCTAGTTTCTTCAAAGCACACGCACGATATGCCGTCTTCATGTTAAGAAAATATAAAGTTTGGAAATGATAAACCTTATAACTTTGTCATGAGTACACTACGAACTGCATTAACAATGATGACGTTATTCATTTATTTCCAGTAACAGAGTATTAACTAATCATTTACTAAACATGTGATACTTCTGTGGCAGGAATGTGGGCAATGGAATCCATAGGTAGGAAATGATAAAGGAAACAAGGCAGCCACAGCAGGCAGTAACAGCTCACCCTTCCCACTGACTCAGGCATTCAGCTGGCCAGGTCCAGGTTTCAGCCTCAAGATAATCACAATGATGTCACAGAAGCAGAATATGGGACAGGATCTCCAGGGCCCCTCATCTGTCAGCTCTGGGCCCAGAGAGAAGCTGGCCCATTCTAATCAGGCCCCACAGGGTATTGGTCTAATGTGGTTTGGGTCTGTGTCCCTGCTCAGATTTCATGTCGAATTGTAATCCTAATGTTGGAGGTGGGGCCTGGTAGCAGTTGATTGGATCATGGGGTCAATTTCCATTGATTGGCTTAGTACCATCCCATTAGTGCTATTCTTGTGGTAGAGTTCTCAGGAGACCTGGCTGTTTCAAAATCTCTCTTACTTCTTCTCTGACCATCTAAAATGAGCCCACTTACCCTTTGCCTTCTGCCATCATTGTAAGTTCCCTGAGGCCTCCCCAGAAGCCAAGCAGATGCCAGAATCATACTTTCTGTACAGCCTACAGAACTGTGAGCCAATTAAACATCTTTTCTTTATAAATTACCCAGGATGGTATTTTTTTTTTCCATTTTTGAAAATTTTATTTTATTTCGTGATGGTGTCTCGCTTTGTCGCCCAGGCTGGAGTGCAATGGCACGATCTTGGCTCACTGAAACGTTGGCCTCCCAGGTTCAAGTGATTGCCCTACCTCAGCCTCCCAAGTAGCTGGGATTACAGGTGCATGCCTCCATGCCTGGCTAATTTTTGTATTTTTAGAAGAGATGGGATTTCGCCATTTTGGCCAGGCTGCTCTCAAACTCCTGACCCCAGGAGATCTGCCTGCCTTGGCCTCCCAAAGTGCTGGGATTAGAGGCATGAGCCACCACGACTGGCTTATTTTTTAAAAAACAGGCAAGGTAGGCATTTCTTTACAGCGATGTGAGAATGGACTAATATGTCATCTCTCACCTGGAGTTGTGAAAGATGGAGCCCAAGGAAAAGATAGAGGGTTTCTGCCTTCAGAGTGGAAGTCTGCAAAGCAAACTCAAAACTGGACCTCAGTTTCTGTGGCCCAGTGGAGCAAGAGGCCAAGGTACAGGAAAGAGGGCTAAGAAACAAAAAGTGGAACAAGCAAAATAGAAAGTGGGCTGGCGCAATGCCGCAGGTGTAGGCGGTGCCCTCTCTGGCTTCATGCAGGGGATGGGCAGAGCCTGCGCTCTGTGGCCATGAAGTCCTGGCCTAAAATCTCAACTCTAAGTCACCACTTGGGAAGCCTTGAGAAAAGTATTCAAACTATCTTCAAGAAGGACTACTGGAGGTCTTCATTATCCAAGGATCGCTGGTACAGGTTTTACAAAATGAAAAACTTGAAGCGACTCTAAAGAGGAACTACAGTTTCAGAGTAAATAATTTAGGAGTGTTTGATTACAATCTAGCTTTAAAAATGAATCTCAAAATTATAAATAAAAAATATTTGTTTTATAGTTGAGAAAAACATAGGTTATAATTATAACAATGTGCTGATTTTTAAAAGAAAGAATGACTCAGATTTATTTGCAAGGCATTGGCATATTTATCCAGACAGCATTCTCACGCTGAAGGATTTCATTCATTTTCCTAAGGGTCTATGCTAACACTTTCACATGCAAAGAATTCTCTTTCCGTGATGTGGCATCCTTGTCAATACATCTCTTACAAGAACAGATAGGGAATGAACAAATATAATTGTTTTCCATTTTGATTTACTTTTAACTTCATATAGCTTTTTAAAATTATGGAAAGCATTTTTATTCCTGGCAATATGGTAGACTAGATATTTTTAAAAACCTTCCTTCTCCTCCACAAAACATTTAGGAATTCAGGATAAAATAGAACAAATGCCCCTTTAACTGTAGAGCTGGCTCAGAATAAAGGCAGCTCCCAGAAGAAATGGAAAAAGGTCACAAACTAGATGCTGCAGCTGCCTTGGGCTGGGCAAGGACAGAACAGTCACAGAGACATCTGCAGAAATACAGAGCTGTAAAAGCCCCTGGAGCGCCAAGGAGAGCTTGGAAAAAATCCACCATGACAAAGTGAGAAATTCAGCATGTCTGCCGCAGTTCGTGGCGGTGGGTATATGGTAAGTAAGAGATTTGCAGAAGCATGGCTCGGTGTATGTGTTTTCAGATACACACACACAGCCATATTCAAATGAGTTTATATGGTTCTGCAATTTCTTTTTTTTTTTTCCCCTTTTCCTTTGCATTTGAGATCTTTTGCACTATATACCTTTGTCTCGTTTAAAAAGTTGTATGATAGCATGTATTATGGATAGGCTTTTGTTTGAAATCACAAAAAAAACCACCTTATATTTTCAATTTTCCTTAGTTTGCTGATATTCATCGGTGCTTTTCTGTTTCCTGCTACGAGCGTGGAAGCTTCAAGGGAAAGGGATTTGTGTTGACTTTTTTCACTGGGATATCCCACGGCTTAGAAAAGTGCATATCGCATAGTAGACTCTCAATAAATATTTGCTGAATGAATTGAATTAATAAGCTATCCCTGAACCAATCCCCCCAATGACTTGTAACATTTCTGACTCTAAACAACACTGCAAACATTGTTACGCACTGCCACATGCGCAGAACTGCAGTCAAACATCCACATCTAAACAGTGATGGTCACGGGATGAAAAGCTGTACGGAAAATGAGTACAGCTCACAGGACTCCTCCCTCCCCCCGTGCTCCAGGTCCACCACGCCTTTGTGTGTCCTGAGCACGTGCTGCTCTTGGAGCTGCCAGGTCTTTGCACACCTGGACTCAGATGCCCTCCCTTTTTGTTAGCACGTGGGCCTAGCCCTGTCATGCGCAGGGCTGAGGTTTGAGTACAAAGGGAAGCCTACAGACACTATGTTCAAATATTTAAAAGTGATAGATCATGTTAACCAATTTTTAAATAAGATGTATTTTATCCTTCCGCCTTGTCAAATACACCTTCATAACAACCAAATGAAAATGTGTAGGCCGGGCACGGTGGTTCACACCTGTAATCCTGTCAGAGGCGCTTGAACCAGAGCAACTTCATTTTGAGTGAGGGTTAGGAAAATGAGGCTGGGACTTGCTGGGCTGCATTCCCAGAAAGTTAAGCATTCTGAGCCTTTACATGTTTACGGCTGAGGGAACAAATTAATAATAATAACTCAACAGATCCAGACTTGGGAGTGTCCAGATATCCCAATATCTGGAGAACAAAGGCAATCCTAATTTTGCTCTAAAGATAATAATGTTGATTCTTGCAAAATATAGTAATTAAGAAAATTAATCCTTTATCACAAACTCTTGTAGCAGAGCACATCTCCCCATATGTACAAGCATTGTACCTAGGGTGGACGTGTTCCTCCTCTTGGTTTCAGGATGTCCTACTCTGTCTATGGAGCAGCTGTTCTTTCACTACTTTATTCTCTTAATAAACTTGCTTTTATGTTGCATTGCAGACTCGCCCTGATTTTTTTCTTGCAGGAGATCCAAGAACCTTCTCTTGGAGTCTGGATCAGGACCTCTTTCCTGAAACAATCCGAGCACTTTGGGAGGCCGAGGGGGTGGATCACTTGAGGTCAGGAGCTCGAGACCAGCCAGGCCAACATGGTAAAAACCCATTTCCACTAAAACACAAAAGTTAGCTGGGTGTGGTGGTGGGCACCTGTAATCCCAGCTACTCAGGAGGTTGAGGCAGGAGAATCGCTTGAACCTGGGAGGTAGAGGTCGCAGTGAGCAGAGATCACACCACTGCACTCCAGCTTGGGTGACAGAGTGTAAGACTGTCTCAAAAAAAAAAAAAAAAAGAAAGAAAGAAAGAAAAAGAAAAACAGTGTGTAAATCTGTGGTTTTGGGCAAAATATCACAGACAGCTGAATTTAATCACTGTTGTATGATGGCTAGATGCTCTGCTAATGCAGCAGGATGTTTGAATAGGTAAGAAAACAGAAATATACATAATTCATAAATCATTTATTTGTTTCAGAATATTTTTCTTACCTTCATTTCAGCAAAATTCTTAAATATTTATAATTTTAAAATAATTTGCATTCTATTGGCAATGATTTAAAAGATTAAAAAGGAAATGTAACAACATTCTAACTATAAAATTTGAATATATTCCATCCCTGTTTGAGCGTCGGTGTGCATAGATAATGTCTTTTGTTGAGTGTTTAGCATGTGGTAGGCACATACTAAAGTACTTTCCTTGCATTAGTATATTTAATCTTCATAATTATGAAGTGGGTGCTGTTGTCATCCCCATCTTATAGATGAGCCATTTGAGGTTCAGGGATAAAGTAATAAAATTGCCCGGGGTTACCCCTCAAAAAAATCTGAATATATTTTTATTAAGAGAACAAAATAAAGGAAGCTAAAAGTAACAAAATTAAAAATATTTTTTGCAGGCTTAAGAGTTTTAACTTTTGGCTGAGCGCGGTGGCTCATAGCTGTAATCCCAGCACTTTGGGAAGCTGAGATGGGCGGATTACCTGAGATCAGGAGTTCGAGACCAGCCTGACCAACATGGTAAAACCCTGTCTCTACTAAAAATAAAAAATTAGCCAGGTGTGGTGGTGTGCGCCTGTAGTCCCAGCTACTCAGGAGGCTGAGGCAGGAGAATCTCTTGAACCCAGGAGGCGGAGGTTGCATTAAACAGAGAGCACGCCACTGCACTCCAGCCTGGGAGACAGAGTGAGATTCCATCTCAAAAAAAAAAAAAGAGTTAACTTCCTTTAAAAAAAAATCTTCAAAATTTTTTTAAACTTTTGAAATTTAAAGACAAAATTTAAATTATAAATCATGAACATCCACATTTTAAATAAAGTTATTTAAAGGGAGCTGCAATATTTATTGACGCTTTAAACAGGTAAGTGCATTTAGGAAAGAGTTATGAAAGTAAAATGATTCACAAGTGTAGTGTTTCATGTCCATTTATTGACAGCGTAAAGAATCAGCCAATTTCATGCATGTTATACTTAGACTTACATGTAGAGAAATCTAAGAAAAATATGAATTGTTTCACAGTGCAAACATTGCTCAGTGACAGTGTGCAATTTTTGTAAACACCGCATGAGCACGTCAGTACCTCCAACAATGGAGCAGAACATGATGAGCAAGCAACTGGATTCTTGCCACTACTTCCTGGAAATATTTTATTACACAAGAATATTGTTTAGTCATGCTGACAAGAAGAGTTTGATGAGTTAACCCATCTTTTCTCTTACTTAGGTACTTTCCAACAATCTCTTGCCACACTTTGAAGGAATCAACCCGCAAACCTCTATGGCATGGAGAGAGAAGCTGGCAGCCCCTGTTTTGAGGACATGGGGCAAGAGACATGAAGAAGCATGTCCCTGAGCTGTACTAGTCCCAGCTGCACATATTTAGGCTTCTGGGCTAAGCTCTGTGGTGGGGGTGGGTCAGGGCTCGTTTTTTTTTTTAAACAGATTTATTTTTTTGTATGCTTGTGATATGTGGGATTCTAAAGTGCAGAGCCCAGGGCCAGGAATCCTCTTGCCTAGATCTAAGGTTGATACTGGGGTGCATGTATAATATAATACAATCACAATAAAACTCCCACAAATTTTATTATTATTATTTTAGTTTTTTGAGACAGTCTCACTCTGCTGCCCCAGGCTGGAGTGCAGTGGTGCAACCTAGGCTCACTGCAGCCTCCCTCTCCCAGATTCAAGTGATTCTCTTGCCTCAGCCTCCAGAGTAGCTGGGACTGCAGGTGAATGCCACCACACCTGGCTATTTTTTGTATTTTTAGTAGAGATGGGGTTTCACTATGTTGGCCAGGCAGGTCTCCGTCTCCTGAGTTCAAGCAATCCTCCTGCCTTGGCCTCCCAAAGTGCAGGGATTCCAGGCATGAGCCACCATGGTTGGCCACTCCTGTGATTATTAAAGAATCACCACCGGTGAAGACCTCCTCTGTGAAGGAGGGCCTGTGGCACCTGGGCCACAGTTCTAAAATAGGCTCAACACATGACATTGAAACTACTTGTTGCTCCTACTTGATTTTACTTGATGATCCTATCTGAAATTACTTGATGCTTTTACTCAAATGCAATCTCCTTGAGGACCTCTGGCTTACAAACAAGATTTACCTATATTTCACTGTCTGTCATATTTCAAAGGTAATACCTGTTTAATTCAAAAGTGTGATGCTAAATAGGTTTTTCTGAGTCCTCCTGCCATGCTGTTTATGTGCCGCAGTGGAAAGCCACTATGCTGCAGGGAAAGGCTATGGTTCACATGGCTGTGGGATGCACAGCTGCAAGGTCAGGCCCGTCTCTGCACACTCGTTTATGCGTGGAGGTCTCACAGGGCTCGCAGTGCACCAATGGCTTCAGGTCTCATCCCGGTGACCCAAAGTCTTCAATTCTGAGAGTCCTTTGCCCACTTTTAAGCTGACTCACTCTATCTCTTCTTTGTAAAATCTGAGGACTAACCAGGGACAGCAGGAAGCCTAAAGAAGGATGGGAAAGGCCCCACGGACCCTTCTCCTTGAATCTGGTAAATGGGAGATTTTGAAAATGTTCAGTTTGGGTGTTTCAGAAGGTATTTTCTTTGTACTATTTCTCTCTCTTTTTTTGAGACGGAGTCTTGCTCTGGTGTCAGGCTGTAGTGCAGTGGTGTGATCACGGCTCACTGCAACCTCCACCTCCTAGGTTCAAGTGATTCTCCTGCCTCAGCCTCCTAAGTAGCTGGGACTACAGGCATGCTCCACCATGCTTAGCTAAATTCTGTAATTTTAGTAGAGATGGGGTTTTACCATGTTGGCCATGATGGTCTCGATTTCGTGATACACCTGCCTCAGCCTCCCAAAGTGCTGGGATTACAGGTTTGAGCCATCGTGCCCAGACTGTACCATCTCTTAAAGGATAAGCAATGGCATTACATAAAAATGGAAAACGGGGGCCAGGCACGGTGGCTCACACCTGTAATCCCAACACTTTGGGAGGCCGAGGTGGGCGGATCACAAGGTTAAGAGATCGAGACCATCCTGGTCAATGTGGTGAAACCCCATCTCTACTAAAAATACAAAAAATCAGCTGGGCATGGTGGCACGTGCCTGTAATCCCAGCTACTGAGGAGGCTGAGGCAGGAGAATTGCCTGAATCCAGGAGGCGGAGGTTGCGGTGAGCCGAGATCGCGCCATTGCACTCCAGCCTGGGTAACAAGGGCGAAACTGTCTCAAAAAAAAAAAAAAAAGGAAAAGGGTAGAGGTCACAATTCTAATAATGATTACAATTCACATCAGGGCTTCAAAACTGGACTTATATTGGTTGTGCAGGAAATAAATACAATAGCAAAATATTTCATATTCTTATAGGTCTATTGTAAATGTCTTGAAAGAAAATAAAGTCAGAAGTAGAATAAGCTATTTATGAAGTCAGAAGTTACTCAGAAGGAAGTAAAGCAGAGGTGCTATAAAATTCTCCCAAGGGAATTGAGATAAACAACAACAGGGTAGTAGCCATGTGCTTGGGCCCAAGGCAAGGATGGTATATAAAGGCGTCCCCCGCAGGAGGAGGCATCAGACTCCCTTCACCTCTCCTGAGTCCTCCTTCCTCACTTCACCTGAGACCTCTCTACTGACACCATGGGTTGCTGTGGCTGTGGTGGCTGTGGTGGTGGCTGCAGTGGTGGCTGCAGTGGTTGTGGTGGCTGTGGTGGCTGTGGCAGCTACACCACCTGCAGGTGCTACCAGGTGGGCTGCTGCTCCAGCTGCTGCCCCTGCTGCCGCGGCTGCTGTGGGGGCTGCTGCAGCACACCCGTGATCTGCTGCTGCCGCCTTACCTGCAGCTCATGTGGCTGCGGCTGTGGGAAGGGCTGTTGCCAGCAAAAGTGCTGCTGTCAGAAGCAATGCTGCTGCTAGGCGAGCCCCCAACCTCTGGGAAGGTGCTCTTTTCTGAGTTTGGATTTGTAGACTTTGTGTACTTTCATCTCCTCTGGTTCAACTAAATATTGAGTCATGCTGGCCAGGGCGCAGTGGCTAATGCCTGTAATCCCAGCACTTTGGGAGGCCGAGGTAGACGGATCATTTGAGGTCAGGAGTTCAAGACCAGCCTGGCCAACATGGTGAAACCCTGTCTCTACTAAAAATACAAAAATTAGCTGAGTTTGGTGACAGGGGCTTGTAATCCCAGCTACTCAAGAGGCTGAGGCAGGAGAATCGCTTGAACCTGGGAAGTGGAGGTTGCAGTGAGCCTAGATCTTGCCATTGCACTCCAGCCTGGGCGTGTGATTTAATAGAAATACACCTGATTAGAAGTCAGAAGCCCAAATTCAAGTCCATGCTCTGCCACAGCAGCTGGCCACAAACAAGTCACTCAGCCTCCCAAAGACTTGCTTATCCACCTATAAAATAATAAGGTTGAACTAAGACTTACTAAGGAAGATTTCATTTTCACTTTTGAATCTATTGAGATCTATTGACTTTGCAGAACTAAACTCCAGGTTCTGAAGATTTCTTTTATATATCTTATGCTCAAAAAATATATACCTTGGCTACAGTGGGCATTAAAATTTGTTTTAAAAAATCACCTTTAGGCTGGGCGCGGGGGCTCAAGCCTGTAATCCCAGCACTTTGGGAGGCCGAGGCGGGTGGATGACGAGGTCAACAGATCGAGACCATCCTGGTCAACATGGTGAAACCCTGTCTCTACTAAAAATACAAAAAATTAGCTGGGCACGGTGGCGCGTGCCTGTAATCCCAGCTACTCAGGAGGCTGAGGCAGGAGAATTGCCTGAACCCAGGAGGCGGAGGTTGCGGTGAGCCGAGATCGCGCCATTGCACTCCAGCCTGGGTAACAAGAGCGAAACTTCGTCTCAAAAAAAAAAAACCCTTTAATCCAATATGGTTCATCAGTTATAATCTGTACTGCAACAAAAACAGGCCATAATTTACCTTGCGAAAGTACAAAATTTACATTCATGAGCTCAGTGGAATGAAATAATGATTACTCATGTATCCCATGCTTTTGAAACATTTACTATCTGTGGAAATTCTGTACTTGTATACCTGCTCAGATTGGTTATATGCTATACATTGGTTACAGCTTCTAGTGTTCCCTTATCTTCCTAAATATAATTTAATAAAACATCAGAGAAATACAGTATTTCACTGGTTTGTTTTGATTTGTTTCTGCTGTGTTTGAAGAAGGGGAGAGAGTGATGGAGCTGATGTTTGGCAACACGTTGCAAACTGTAGGAAGGTTGTAAGATGAAAGACAAGGTATACTCTGAATTTATTAGGGAAATGTTAGCTACTGTAACACATTAACACAAAAATACACAATGACTCAACACAATGAAGCAGCTTTTCTCGTTGATATCAACTATCCTGAGCAGTTTTGGGTGGGCAGAAATGCGGGTTAGGGAAGCGACTCTCCACTCAGTCATTTAGGGATCTTGGTTGAAGAAAGCACTGACATTTTCAAGACATGGCTTCTAAGATGGCTTAGTGGTCCCCAGTCTGTAAGTAGAAAAAAAAGAATAGATAGCCCATCACTTCTCAAGCGCTGTGGCTTGAAAGTGACACAGCTTGTCATTGGTTGGAAGTAATCACGTGGTCCTGGCCAGACTCGGTCGCTCATGCCTGTAATCCCAGCACTTTGGGAGCCTGATCATTTGCGGTCAGAAGTTCGAGACCAGCTTGTCAACATGAAGAAACCCCGTCTCTACTAAAAACTAAAAAGAAGTTAGCTGCGCATGGTGGCACATGTTTGCAACCCCAGCTACCCGGGAGACTGAGGCAAGAGAATCGCTTGGACCCAGGAGGCAGAGGTTGCAGTGAGCCGAGATTGTAACAATGCACTCCAGCCTGGGTGACGGAGTGATATTCTGTCTCAAAAAAAAAAAAAAAAAAAAAAAAAAAAGAAGTAGTAATATGGCCCTACTCAGTCTGTAGTTAGACTGATACTTCCCAGCAACAACCTTGTCATATGATAGGGAAAGGCATACATTTCTCATGGGCAGTGAGCTGTGTCTACCACATAAAGTTCATGTTCTAGTAAAACTCCCGGCTGATTTGACTGCAGTGTGTTCAGAAGGGGATGCCCTAAGGTAACTCAGGTGGGTGCTTATTAGCCATTTGTATCACCTGCATTTCTCCTGGAGTAGTTAAACTGGTCCCTGTGGCAGATCGTTCTTCAAAGAACTTTGTCTTTTTTTTCTTTTTGAGATGGCGTCACACTCTGTCACCGAGGTTGGAGTACAGCAGTGTGATTATGGCTCACTGCAATCTCCGCCTCTCAGGCTTAAGCAATCCTCCCACCTCAGCCTCTAGAGTAGCTGGGACAACAGGTTTGTGCTACCATGCTCAGCTAATGTTTTTTTTTTTTTCCAGAAGCAGGGTCTCATCGTGTTGCCCAGACTGGTCTCAAACTCGTGGGTTCAAGGGATTCACCTGCCTGGCCCTCCAAAAGTGCTGGGTTTACAGGTGTGAGCCACCATGCCAAGAACAAGTTTTTCTAATACTGCTAACATTGTTCTTATTTGAATTAACCAGGTAGTTTTGATTTGTTTTTTAAAATGTTACATGTCATTCTAGAGTTACAACCACAAACATCATTCAGATTCTTTAAAAGGATCTAGATATTCTAGAGAAAGTTTTCTCCATACCATTTAAATGAGATTATAGTGGTGGCTAGCGTGAGCTGTCTTGCTCAACAGCCATTTTCATGTCCTTCTAGTATTTTCTTTTCCTTACAGAGGAGGCTGAGATGATTAAAAATTACATTGCACAGAATCCTCTGCATCTGGCATCTGGATATTGCAACAATTAGATCAACCCTTGAAGGGTATAAAAGGCAGAAATGAGGTGAAGGTCATTTTCCTGCTACTTTTATTTGTTGCTGCTGATAAGGAAGATTGGGGTGGAGGAGTTGAGTTCTCTGCCCTGCAGCAATGTTCCCAGAGAGTGTCATGCAAGTTAATAACCAGTTACGGCAGCAGCTGTAGTCAAATTCAGTGTTGTGCCATTGGATCTCTAACCTGGGGTGTACGGATGACAGATGACAACAGCAGCCGTAGTTCCTGGACTGCAGCGGTAGTGGGGCGTTCTTGAACTTAATCATTCCAGAGGTGGCTTATTGATGTCCCTGACTTTTTTATTTTTTTCCAGACAGAGTCTAGCTCTTGTTGCCCACATTGGAGTGCAGTGGCATAATCTCAGCTCACTGTAACCTCTGCCTCCCAGGTTCAAGAGATTCTCCTGCCTCAGACTCCCGAGTAGCTGGGATTACAGGTGCCTGCCACCATGCCTGGCCAATTTTTGTATTCTTAGTAAAGACTGGGTTTTATCATGTTGGCCAGGCTGTTCTCAAACTCCTGACCTCTGGTGATGTACCCGCCTCAGCTTCCCAAAGTGCTGGGATTACAGGCGTGAGCCACCACGCCCAGGCTTCCCTTCCTTTTTGACTACTGCACAGACAGTGGCATCTCCCAGGGCCAGTTCATCACTCATGTCCCGGCCAGTATTTCTGCAGATAAGTCTAGAGCCTGCTTTTCTAGCCCTCCCAGCAGTTTTGTACACATGATTCTCCCATTCCATCTCTTCCCAATTCCATAGCTTGAATTGCAGTTTTCTGCAACTAACTGACACTGGGACATGACATGTCCTATCTTTTCATACCAAATTCTAGCCGTGCTCCAAAGCTGTGAGGAATCCTGGCTCCCAGCCCTTCTTGATGAAATCTTCCTTTTTCTGAACTCCGAGGCTTTTGCTGTTTTGGCATGCCATGTGACAAGTTATTTGCATACTTTTCTATCCTTGGTTTTAGCAACTTTTAGTTTTAGCTCTTTTGGTTGCAGAAAAATAGAAACCCACTAAAAACAGTATAAAAGGATAATAACACAGGGGCGTCTCAAAGAAAACAAAGACAGACCTTGCAATCAGTTTTCACAGGGGAGAAATCAAGATGTAAAATGCCTTTGAGTAACCAAGCAGTTACCCTTTCTCTGCCACCCTCTAAAGCCGTACGGTCTCCTACCTCCTCTCCCTGGATATTTCTCCTCCCTGCCCCTCCTCCTCCTTCCTGTACAGATTGGTTTCTCTGCTTCTCCCAGCACAGTTCATGACTTCATTGTATTGTGTTGTATTTTTATTTCTTTTTCTATAGAAGGGTCTCACTCTGTTGTTCAGGCTGGAGTGCATGATCACAGCTCACTACAGCCTCCAACTTCTGGGCTCCAGCAATCATTCTGCCTCAGCTTCTTGAGTAGCTGGGACTTTAGGTGTGTGCCACCATGCCTGGCTAAATATTTTTTTGGACACAGGGTCTCCAGGCTGGTCTCAAACTCCTCACCTCAGATGATTCTCTCATCTCAGCCTCCCAAATCACTGCCATTACAGGCATAAGCCACTGTGCCTGGCTACTATGTTTATTTTTTTGTAAAGATAGTGTCTTGCTATGTTGCCCAGTCTGGTCTTGAACTCCTGGCCTCAAGCACTCCTCCCACCTCAGCCTCCCAAGTGGCTGTGATTACAGGTGTGTGCTACCATGCCTGGCTAAGCTCATGAATTTAAATATGGTGGAGACTTCTATGGCCTACCCAATACCCTTGGTCTCGTTCTTCTCCCCAGTGTTAACCAGGCACAGATCACTTGGAATAAATACTACATTTCCCATGTTGCTACATGGCTATTTTCTAGGCAATGAGATGGCTCTTTAAAAGGAGGAGCATAGGCCTTTCTCTTCCTTTATCCTTCTGTTTTATTTATTCTTCTCGTCTTCCTTTATCCTTCTGAGTGGAGAGGAGATATAGTTATTGGAGCTATGGTTATCACATTTTGAACATGAGAATGAAGAGATAAAAGAGCTGGTGGATCCATGTACTGAAAGGATCTCTGAAGAAGTGGAGCTTCTTGAGTACTGTATTAGTCTGTTCTCATGCTTCTAATAGAAACATACATGAGACTGGGTAGTTATAAAGGAAAGGAGTTTAATTGACTCACAGTTCAGCATGACTGGGGAGGCCTCAGGAAGCTTACAATCATGGTGGAAGGGGAAGCAAACACACCCTTCTTCACATTGCAGCAGCAAAAGGGAGAAAGCCTGTTATAAGACCATCACATCTAGTGAGAACTCACTCTCACTCACTATCAGAACAGCAGCATTGGGGTAACCACCCCCATGATTCAATTACCTCCTACCAGGTCCCTCCCATGACACTTGGGGATTATGGGAACTATAATTCAAGATGCAATTTGGGTGGGGACACAGCCAAGCCATATCAAGTACTTACCTCTGGACTTTGTGAATAACTTTCTATTTTAAGCCATTTTTATTTTAAATTTCTTTTTGTGTGCAGCTAAGCTTAATCTTTTTTTTTTTTTTTTTTTTTTTTTTTAAGAGATGGAGTTTCACTCTTGTTGCCCAGGCTGGATTGCAATGGCGTGATCTCGGCTCACTGCAACCTCTACCTCCCAGGTTCAAGTGATTTTCCTGACTCAGCCTCCCAAGTAGCTGGAATTACAGGCATGTGCCACCATGCCTGGCTAATTTTGTAGTTTTAGTACAGATGGAGTTTCTCCATGTCTGTCAGGCTGGTCTTGAACTCCTGACTTCAGGTGATCCGCCTGCCTCTGCCTCCCAAAGTGCTGGGATTACAGGCGTGAGCCACTGCACCCAGCCAACTAAGCTTAATCTTAACAGATACACATGCTCTCCCATTTCATGCATTTCATGCATAGTAGGGGATAACTAGTTTCTCTTGGTTTCAATTCCAAGCTCCTAGGGAGACTGGAAATACTTAGCTTCTTTATGTGCTGATATTCTGATCAATAATGGCTAAGGGAGCAAAGTTCCATAACACAAATGGGATACAGAGGTGTATGCATGTAAGTTATCAGGGGTTGTTTTCATAGAAACAGGCGTGTGTGTTGGGCAGATACTAAAAAGTTGTCACATTCTTCTCTTCAGTTATAAGCTGATTCTCTTTTCAGCTTTATCCTGAAATATCTTCCCCTTTATAACATACAGACTACATTTCTACATCTTAACAGAAATCTGCAGATACCACGCCTGTAATCCCAGCACTTTGGGAGGCCGAGGCAGGTGGATCACGAGGTCAAGAGATCAAGACCATCGTGGCCAACATGGTGAAACCCCGTCTCTACTAAAATACAAAAATTAGCTGGGCATGGGGACACGCCCCTGTGGTCCCAGCTACTCAGGAGGCTGAGGCAGGAGAATTGCTTGAACTCAGGAGGTGGAGGTGGCAGTGAGCCAAGATCGTGCCACTGCACTCCAGCCTTGCACCTGGCGACAGAGCAAGACTCAGTCTCAAAAAAAAAAAAAGAGAAAAAAAAGAAAAAGAAATGTGCAGATACTTCCTTTTAGCCACAAATGTAAGGAGTACCAAACCCAAGTGGAAATATGTTGTGCCCATTAGCAAAAGCATGCGACTTACTCAGTTTTGGTCAAATGGCAAAGACTCTGGAAAGAAGACACTTGATTCTCATAGTCAGGAGGAGTCCAGCTGTTCCAGTTCCCTACATATAAAATGATTACCTAAAATGTTCTTCAATTCAACATCTTATGAAGACAGCAAAAGGATTTGACATGGCACAACCCACATTCTAAGTAATTACCACCTCCCATTCATTCAAGCCACTAATAAATATATAACTTACTTATTATAATATTATATAGTTGTAGAATGAAATAATTTATATGACTTAGTGGGAGGGCAAATTTTAGTTGTTAATTTTTATAAAATAAAAAATACATATTTTTAGAATATTATGTAATTGTAGTAGAAATCTCAACCATGCGGAAGTATATAAACCATACAACAGAAGTGTCTCATTTCTCTCAATCCAGCTATAGTATTCCTTAAGTTATTCTCAGTGTTTTGTGTTGATAGGTGGGTCTTTTCAGTTTTTGTTTTGAAATGGAGTCTTGCTCTGTCACCCTGGCTGGAGTACAGTGGCACAATCTTGGCTCACTGGAACCACTACCCTCCAGGTTCAAGTGATTCTTCTGCCTCAGTCTCCCGAGTAGCTGGGATTACAGGTGCCTGCCACCACTCCCAGCTAATTTTTTTTTTTTTATATATTTTTAGTAGAGACAGGGTTTTGCTATATTGGCCAGGCTGGTCTTGAACTCCTGAGCTCCAGTGATCCACCCACCTTGCCCTCCCAAAGTGCTGGGATTGCAGGGATGAGTCACCATGCCTGGCCCATACGTGGGTTATCTTTAATCCTTTGATGCAAAGAACCACTTCACTGGGGTCCAATAACTGGGCCCACAGTCTGGAGCTAATGTTTCGGTGTCCACTACCAGGCATGCCCTTTGTACCAGGCTGTGTAGCCTCCTGCTGCTGCAGGGTGGAGCGGTGCTCCCTAAACCCACCACACCTGAGCTTTTAGCCCACACTGACTGCACTGCTGCATGCATTATCTCACCATTCCTAACAGCGCTCACTGAATCTGTGCTCTGGGCTGCGCTGGTGATTCCACAGAAGCAGAAGGAAGGCGCTGCAGAGGTTAGAGCTGCCTACAGTTCCCATCTTTTCTCCTAGACATATTGTTTTGTATTTCCACCCACTTGAACTCAAGCATAACTAAATGACTTTTTTTGACCATTGAAATGTGAACAGAAGTGATATGCGTTGCTTCTGGGCAGAAACATAGATCCAGTAAGTGGCTCACCACGTTTTTGTACCCTGCCTCTGTAACTAACTGTGGAAGCCTGGATCCAGATAGTGCCTGTGCCAGTCGAGGCTCTGCAGTAACTACCATGAGCACGGACCCCATTTTGATCAGGAGGGACAGTTAGCATAAGCGAGAACTTTGTTCTTTTTTTAAAATTTTCTTTAAAGATGGGGTTTCACCATATTGGTCAGGCTGCTCTCAAACTTCTGACCTCAGGTGATCCGCCTGCCTCAGCCTCCCAAAGTGCTGGGATTACAGGCATGAGCCACAGTGCCCGGCAGCAAGAACTTTGTTGTTTTTTGTAATGGAGTTTTCCTGCTGGAAAGCAGTGATGTGATTTTAGCTCACGGCAACCTCCGCCTCCCAGGTTCAAGCTAGTCTCCTGCCTCAGCCTCCTGAGTAGCTGGGATTACAGGTGTGTGCCACCACACTTGGCTACTTTTTGTAATTTTAGTAGGGATGGGGGTTTCGCTATGCTGGCCAGACTGGTCTCGAACTCCTGACTTCAGGGGTGATTCTCCCACCTTGGCCTCCCAAAGTGCATGATTACAGGCATGAGCCACCACACCCAGCCAGAACTTTGTATTTTCAAGTCTATCCCAAATGACAGTCTTTTCTCAATGAGCTCACACACTAGTAGAGAGACAATGCAGAACCATGGTCTAGAGACTGTGAAGTACTGTATATGGCCACGTGAGTGTTCAAGGGCTAAAATAAAATATGGTAATCTCCCCAACCAACCTCTCTCCTATTGCTGTCTTTCAGTCTGGTAGCATTAGGCAAACTTCTCACGTCTCAGGCGGGCTATCTCCAAATGGATTAGTCTGCAACGCTGGAATAATATGACATAAAAATTTTATTTTGTGCATGTGATCATTCAGCTTGAAACGAAACTCTAACATTTGCAGCAGAGAAAATACTTTTCTCTGCATCTCATCCGTGTTCATTTTCTTGTTGAACAATTTCAACATAAGAAACTTCCATAGCTGGTAATAATTTCAACAGAACAGGAAAATATAGTTTAACTGGATATTCTTGTTTTTACTTTTTAGAAGCCATACTAGTAACGGAGTATATTAAAGGAGCTTATTGTAAACCCATCTTGTTTTTTTAAGTTTTTGTTTGCGTATCTTCATGCATAAATGGATCTCATATTTTTTTCTCCTTTCCTTCCTTCACCCCATTATAATATAAAATTATTTTCTCATTTCCCATCATAGTTGATGTCTTATCCTATTGAACTCTGAACTATTTTTCCATGATTCCTTTTTTATGAGCGTTAAATTTTAACCAGAAGACTGAGATAAAAGGCAACAGAGTACCATGCAAGCATGGCCACTTTGACAACGTTTCTAACTGAAGCAGGGTTGACCATGACCTGCTGTGAAGGATGGACATCCTGCAATGGATTCTCCCTTCTGGTTCTTCTGCTGTTAGGAGTAGTTCTCAATGCGATACCTCTAATTGTCAACTTAATGGAGAAAGACCAGTTTTCTCAAAACCCCATCTCTTGCTTTGAGTGGTGGTTCCCAGGAATTATAGGAGCAGGTCTGATGGTGAGTAATATTTATTTGACTTGCTGTGAAGAAGGGCCTGCCTATTTCACCAAAATCCTAAAGGCTATCTTTGAGTCTTGCAGTTAGCTATGTCTTGGCTTATGATACAATTTGGAGCAGTGGTATGGCATTAATTTATATTGGTCATCAGTGAAGAATAGTAACTTAAATAAAGTACACTATGTGGTATAGGATAGAGAGCTGAGCAAAATAAATAAATAAATAAATAGATAGAAGTTGGCTGGGTTATTATCGCTCACATTTCTGCCCATGCAGGGCTACTCTTCCAAGATTTATGGTTAGAGTTAGGGACCTTCCGAATTAATTCCTTCAACTTTCCTTTGCTCCACACCAGCCTCTAAGTATTTACAGAAAATGCAATAGGAGTGAGAGTTTGCTTAATACGAATGAGTAGAAACATTCCTATGCATGATAACTAGCCGGGGTGATGAGAATCATGAGGCATGAATGTTGCATTGCCTGTACCTCAAGGGAGTTGGGCTAAGAGACGTGGACTTAAAATCTTGGGTCTCAAGCCTTAGGGACTTTTTGATTCAGCTATTCCATAGATCCCAGGACATCGAGCTTGTTGAATAGTTTGATGATTGTTACCAGGTCTATCTTTGTTGAATCTGCCGCAGAGCAGTGCAGTATGGAACTCCTGAATAAAACTGATCATGAATCACCTGACGAACTTGCAATAGTCAGATGGGTAGATGTTCTCCTGAGAATTTTGATGCAGTAGGCCTGGGTAGGACCCATTTGTATAGGGAAATCTGCTTTCAAATCTGGCAGAATACCTCAGCTATGGTTCTGCCTCTAATGTATCACTGCAAGCCAATCATTTATCCTATGGTTTTGTTTCCATATTTGTAAAATGGGGATGTGGTTGAAGTTGATAATTCAGCATCCAAGAGGCTTGTTTTTGTTCGTTATGCCACTAAGGGGTTTACTTAGTGCCAGAAGTGTGTGTGTGTGTGTGTGTAAGAGAGAGAGCAAAGTTGTAAGGACTGATTTTATCAGTGTTTTAGAGATAATAAAACTTGGAGGTGACTTTGGTTGTTGTTAAACTTTTTTTTAACTTTTAAGTTCAGGGGTACATGTGCAGGTTCATTACACAGGTAAACGTGTGGCATGGGGGTTTGTCGTACAGATTATTTCATCACCCAGGTATTAAGCCTAGAACCCATTAGTTATTGCGCCTGGTGCTTTCCCTCCTCCCACCCTCCACCTTCTAAAAGCCCCAGTGTGTGTTGTTCCCTTTTATATGTTCATGTGTTCTCATGATTTACCTCCCACTTAGAAGTGAGAACATGCAGTTTTTGGTTTTTTGTTCATGCATTAGTTTGTTAAGGATAATGGCCTCCAGCTTCATTCATGTCCCTGCAAAAGACATGATCTCACTCCTTTTTTATAGCTGTGGAGGTGATTTTAAAAGAAATTCAGGACACAGTTTTCTACCTGAATCACTGATTGTTAATTATGATCAGTTACTGCTGCTGGTCTTGTCCCCAGATTTACAAAAACACGCTTTCTTTATGGTCACAAGGAATCTATTCCTCTGCTCTAGGTAGAAAGGTCTAACTAAAGAAAAAGCTTTTGGAAAGTTTTGGACTATTTCTTCACACTGCCACGAATGCTCTTTTCCAGGCTGAGAGACAGAAAACACATTGCAACTCAACAGCATGAAGCAACCATACATCCGTGTGTCTGTTTTCTCCCCTGTAGAAGGTTTCTCTCTACTTGAGTAGTAGAAGCCTCTTTTGCATTTGCTTATATACCAGAAGCCAGGAGCAGCTGGCTGAGCATAACTTAACGACAGCAATTTCCATGAAGCTCCTAAGAGTTCCCGAGTTAAGAGTATCACTTAGAATAACTCATGCAGCTTTAGAAACAAACCATGAGACAAAAAAAATTGTATTAGCATTAAAGGAGCCTGAAGTGGCGATGACACATACCTATATCCTATGTACAATTTTAGGATGGTGGTGGGTGTTGTGGGGAGAGTAGAGACAGAGAAAGAGAAAGACAGAGGCAGACAGAAAAACCTAAGTCTTCATTTGCTGGCCATCTGCCAAGGCCCATCTACTGGTTTCATGCATTACCTCATTATCTTATTTAGTCTCTATAATAATCTGTGCATTTATTATTACTTGTATTTTACAGACCAGCAAACAGAAAGTTAGGAATATTAACAAGGTCACATAATGGCTGTGAAACCCAATTCCAGATTTATCTGATGTCAAAACTATGTTTTTCCACCAGTGCTAATACCAGAGTCCTCAACACCTGTCTCAGGGCTGCCAGAGGTGAAAGATATAATCCATAAATTAATGCATAAAGTCAAGTGACCAGGAAACTGAATCACAGAAAGATTATAGAAACTTACGGAACAGTTTCAGAGAATCTGAACTTCCTTGTTCTACAGCTAAATTTACTTTATCATCCTTAGTATTATCAGAAAATATCAACACCAGACTATCTCTATTATTCAGTATTATACAATGTCATTAAAGCATCAAAGAACTCTTTGAAAAGTCCAATGTGAACTTCATAGATAGAGGCTATGCCCATAAGCAAACAGGTGGGTGGTAAAAAGGGTTCAGACTGCAGGTATATTTTCATGATCCTCGGATATATAGAGAACGTGGAAGAAAGTCTTTTTCAAAGGGATTTATTAACATGTCCTTTACAACACCCATGAAAATACTCACTAGTTCAAAATATCGAACTTTCAATATACTTGTAACTACATTAAAAAGTTAATAGAGCAGAAATCATTGCCTGTGATAAGCACTTCGGTCATAGTTCTTGAAATCTTTCCAAAATTACTGTGGTGTTTCAAATCAGTATCATTATCAAAAGTGAGATTTTACAAGAAGTAGATAATCATATGAACAATGGAATTCATTATTGATTACTTCATTAAATATATTCATTTTGTGGCTTCATGATTTACCTAAAACAGAGGCGAACTTTTCATCTTCCAAAACCATGACTAAGTAAAAAATATGACATACTTAATTATCTTTAATTTTAAATAGAAAAATAGATACAAATGTTATTTGTTCAAGTTTTTTTTTTAATCTCAAAATGTTTCCTTGAAAAAATACAAACAGAAAGGCCATTTTATTTTCTGAGGTTAATTGTAAGCCTGATCTTAACCATGCTTATTTATTAAGTTCACTCATTAGTAAATAGAAACTCATCAAAGTCAATTATTAAAGTCTTAATAGAGAACAAATCGTTGAAAGTTAAACAGATGAGAAAATACTATGCAATACAAACATTTGTAAAATATAGTTTTGTGGGTTGTTTTTAGTTTTTTTGTCATTATTGTTTTTGAGACAAAGTGGTGCTCTGTCACCCAGGCTAGAATGCAGTGCTATGAGCACGCCTCACTGCAACCTCAATCTCCTGGGAGCAAATGATCCTTCCACTTCAGCCTCCTAAGTAGCTGGGACTATAGGCATGCACCACCATGCCTAGCTTATCTTAAATTTTTTTTTTTTTTAGCCAGGTATGGTGGCTCCTGCCTGTAATCCTAGCACCTTGAAAGGCTGAGGTGGGAAGATTACCTGAGGTCATGAGTTCAAGACCAGACTGGCCAACATGGAGAAACTCATTTCTACTAAAAAATACAAAAATTAGCTGAGCACAGTGGATCACAAGGTCAGCAGTTCAAGACCAGGCTGACCAACATGGTGAAACTCGTTTCTGTTTTAAAAAATGCAAAAATTGGCCAGGCAAGGTGACACATGCCTGTAATCCCAGCTACTCAGGAGGCTGAGACAGGAGAGTTGCTTGAACGTGGAGGTGGAGATTGCAGAGAGCCAAGATCATGCCACTGCACTCCAGCTTGGGCAACAGTACAAGACTCTGTCTCAAAAAAAAAGTTTTTTTAAATTTTATTTATCTATTTTTGTAGATAGGGTCTCACTATGTTGTTCAGGTTGGGCTCAAACTCTTGGGCTCAAGTAATCCTCCTGTCTTGGCCTCCCAAATTGCTAGAATTACAGGCATGAGCCACCATGCCTGGCTACAAAGTATGTTTTGATATTTGTGATGAGCTAAAAATTTGTGTGTTACTCTCATGTTCAAGTTTTTAGAGGACTCCCAAAACTCTGAACTTCATTACAGAATTTTTAATGGTCTATAGTTCTGTACATGTAAAATCATGTAACTTCTTCTTTTTTTTTGAGACAGTCTCACTCTGTCGCCCAGGCTAGAGTGCAGTGGTGCAATCTCAACTCACTGCAACCCCCACCCGCCAGGTTCAAGCAATTTTCCTGCCTCAGCTTCCTGAGTAGCTGGGATTACAGGCATGTGTCACCTTGCCTGGCCAATTTTTGCATTTTTTAAAACAGAAACGAGTTTCACCATGTTGGTCAGCCTGGTCTTGAACTGCTGACCTTGTGATCCACCTGCCTCGGCCTCCCAAAGTGCTGGGATTACAGGCGTGAGTCCCATGCCCGTCTCCTCATGTAACTTCTAAGACTAAACAAAATTATGGGTTTCTGTAAGAAAAAATGAACAATATTACTTTTCTTTGTAAAAACAAAAGCCTAGGAGGAATTTTAATTTTACAAAAACTCAGGCATTCAAATATGCTTAGGAAATGAAGAGACAGTGTGTTCATTTCTCATTTTGGCAGAAGATTATCTGGAAAATTTATATATAATTCAGACACACACACACACCATTCACATTTTTAGTGTCTGTCCTCTAAAGAGCCCCTCCAATTTCCAGAACTCGGAATGGGAAAGCGGTCGAAACCACAGTGAATTGTCAACTTACCAGTAATGGCATTACAAAGATGTGTTAACATGCCTCGAAGTGAATGGGGTGGTGATTTATAAACTATAAGTAATTGTCCCTTTATAAAACCACTTTGCAAGCAAAGCACGAAAGGAAATATTTAGCATCTCTGAAATAAACTTATCTTAAAGAAAATTAGCAGAGTTAAGTTTGCATCAAGGAAAATAAAACGATTTATCCATTTAAGTCGTGATGTCAATCCACTTTTTTTGAGTCAGGGTCTTGCTTTGTCATTTAGGCTGGAGCACACTGGAACTTTCTTTTAAAAGAATCATTAATTTTCTAAATCTGTGGCTGGCAAACCTTTTCAGTAGACATTCAGTGAATATTTTAGGTTCACAAATCTGCCTCTTCCACAAAATTTAACTCTACTGCTGGTGCACAAAAGTAGCCATAGACAATATGTAAATAAATGGATGTGACAGTGTTCCAATAAAACTTTATTTACAAGAAAGAGGTCATGGCCATAGTTTGCCAGTTTCCATTCTAAATAATTTGTCCTGTAAGCTCAGAAGGCAGTATAGCTTACATGCACAATAAAAGATGTTTAGTGCATGAATACTGACACCTATTTTGGAGCTGAAGTTTCTTTTTCCTTTTCTTCCGTGCTTTCAGCTATGCACCAAGGTGCAGCCATATACACGTGGCCTCTAAATAAGAAGGGTGGTGGTATTCAAGGCAATGTGTAAGCAAAGCTTGCTAACAATACAAAATGACATGGAGGCAGTCCATCATCAGATGGAATGAAGTTGTTTAGGAAAGTTGCCTTGTAAAGAGGCATAAACTTTAAACCTGTGCTAAAAGAACAAAGGCAGATGTGGCCTTGGATAAATGAATCAGAGAGCGAGCAATTGGAAGGCCAATGAGATGGGCAAGGGTGGAGGCAGCAGGGAAGATGAGGAAGAACAAACTCTAGATAGGAATGAGGGAGAATTGTAAGACTTGAGTCAGTGTGGAACAGGGATTAAGAGTTCCGGCCGAGCACAGAGGCTCACCTGCAATCTCAACATTTAGAAGACCGAGGTGAGCAGATCACTTGAGCCCAGGAATTTGAGACCAGCCTGGGCAACATGGCAAAAACTCCATCTCTACAAAAAAAAAAAAATCCCCCAAAATGAAATAAAAATAGTAGGGCATGATGGCATGCACCTGTAATCCCAGCTACTCGGGAGGCTGAGGTGGGAGGATCACTTGAGTGCTGATGTTGAGGCTGCAGTGAATCATGATCATGCCACTGCACTTCAGCCTGGGTGACAGAGTGAAAGCCTGTCTAAAGAAAAAAACAACCAATCAAACAAACAAACAAACAAAAAAGTCTGGGCTGTGCACCCTAAATGACTGGTTCTGAATCCCAACGCTTCTACTTTCTTTGACAAATTACTCAAACATTTTATGCCTCAGTTTTTCCTCTGGTAAAATGGGAATAGTACTAGCACCTACCTCATAAAATTATTATGAGGATGGAATAAACTAAAGCATTAAAGTGCCCGTAACAGTGCCTGGCATGTAGTCAGAGCTCGGGAAAATGTTAGAGAGTGGGAGTAGGAGACAGAAAAACCTCTCAAGGGCAGCTGTGCTGAGATGGTAAAAAAACCTATGGATAAAATTTCTCAAGTGGAAGGAAATAATTTACATTCCACCCCGCAATGATACAAAACTCCTTCCAGTAAGAATTTCTAGTCATAGCTGCTGCCTAGATATTACTAAAAATTGACACCCAAGTCCTGAGAACATGGTGTTCTTTCTTAGAGCTTTCCTTGGCAACATGTATATCCCTGAAGACATATTGCGATCTATAGATTTCTGAGCATCGGTGTAAAGTGAGATCATTACATATCATGGATATAGGAAGAGAAAGGAGAACATGGAACCCAAAATAATTCTCAAATACAAGCTTGGGGGAACCAGCAAGACAGCAGGGATCCTGGGAAAAGAAAGGCAAGTGGGAACGGGTGGTGACAGAATGACTGGTTCCCAACTGCCAGACAAACAAAACCATCAGTTTCTTTTCGGGAGGCTTGCCAGACTAATTCATCCAATTTATGGGAAATTGGGCCAGGCGTGATGGCTTATATCTTCAGTCCCAGCGCCTTAGGGGGGACAAGGCAGGAGGTTTTCTTGAGGCAGGAGTTCAGGAGCAATCTGGGCAACAGAGTGAGATCCTGTCTCTAGAAAAATATTTTTTTAAATTAGCCAGGTGTTGGCCGGGGCGGTGGTTCACGCCTGTAATCCCAGCACTTTGGGAGGCTGAGGCGGGTGGATCACCTGAGGTCAGCAGTTTGAGACCAGCCCGACCAACTTGGGGAATCCCTGTCTCTACTAAAAATGCAAAAAATTAGCTGGGTGTTGTGGTGGGCACCTATAATCCCAGGTACTTGGGAAGCTGAGGCAGGAGAATCACTTCTGCCTCAGGTTCAAGTGATTCTCCTGCCTCAGCATCCTGAGCAGCTGGGATTACAGCATCCTGAGCGGCTGGGATTACAGGTGCATGCCACCACACCCAGCAAATTTTTGTATTTTTAGTAGAGACAGAGTTTCACCATGTGAATCCGGGAGGTGAAGGTTGCAGTGAGCTGACATCATGCCATCATACTTCAGCCTGGGCAACAAGAGCAAAACTCCATCTCAAAAAAAAAAAAGCCAGATGTGGTGGCCAGTGCCTGTGGTCCTAGCTACTCAGGAGGCTGAGACAGGAGGATTCTTTAAGCCCAGGAGTTTGCGGCTACACTGAGCTACACTCGTACCACTGCACTCCAGCCTGGGCAACAGAGACCTCGACTCTTTAAACAAAAAAGGAAGGAAAAAAAAAAAAAAGGAAAGGAGTTTAGCTGATGCAACCAATTCTTTCAGAAACATTTCTTCCAAAAATAATATATAAATAAGTCATCCTAATCTATTTAAAATCTAATTCTCTGCAGATGACTCAGAACAAACTAAGAACGTAGAGAGAAGATTTCAAAACTGCTGTCTTGAATTCCCTGGTTCCTGCTACCGCTTTTAATCTCTATGGTTGAAACTGGGATGACAAGGTTCACAAAACCACGGATGTTGCCAAATCTCCTTTTTGTTCTTTCAGCCTTGATTTCCCACAACTGGTGAAAAATGGAAGGTGACGATGACTGGTTTTTATTCTGATGAGAAGTAATAATAATCATCTTTCCTGTTCATTTCCAGGTCATTCCTGCAACAACAATGTCCTTGGCAGCAAGAAAAAGAGCGTGCTGCAACCACAGAACCGGAGTGAGTACGGAGCGGTCGGCGCGGAAGCAGAAGTGCATCAACAGTTACCGCTAGCTAAGCAAAGCCATACTGAGTCATTTACATCTGCAGAATCACAGTGGGGCTCCACTGACGAGGCCAGCACCTTAGAAATATGCTCTTTTTATTGATTAATTTGGAGACAGGGTCTTGCTCTGTTGCCCAGATTGGAATGCAGTGGTGTGATCTCAGCTCACTGCAACCTCTGCTTCCCAGGTTCAAGTGATTCTCCTGCCTCAGCATCCTGAGAAGCTGGGATTACAGGCATGCACAACCACACCCAGATAATTTTTGTATTTTTAGTAGAAACGGGGTTTTGCCATGTTGGTCATGCTGGTCTCAAACTCCTAACCTCAAGTGATCTGCCCACCTTGGCATCCCAAAGTGCTTGGATTATAGTTGTGAGCCACCATGCCTGGCCTGAAACAGGTTATTTAGGATGATTACATAGAAATAGAAAAAGTGGGTCAGGCACAGTGGCTAACACCTGTAATCCTAGCACTTTGGCAGGTTGATGTGGGTAGATTACCTGAGGTCAGGAGTTCGAGAGCAGCCTGGCCAACATGGTGAAACTCTGTCTCTACTAAAAATACAAAAATTTGCTGGGTGTGGTGGCATGCACCTGTAATCCCAGCTACTCAGGAGGCTGAGGCAGGAGAGTCACTTGAACCTTGAAGGCAGAGGTTGCAGTGAGCTGCTATCACACCACTGCACTCCAGCCTGGGTGACAAAGTGAGACCTGATCTCAAGAAAAAGTGAAAGAAAGAGAGAAAAGAAAAAGTGAGAAGGGTGTTTTTTTGTTGTTGTTCCATAAACTTTTAGCATTAGAGTCAGCCTTCTGTCCCTTCCTGTCTTCAGTGGATTGTTCTTTCCTCAGTCTAAAGGTTTTCAAAGAAAGGAGATTCATAAGTCACACCCACAGCTGTAATCAATTTTATAATACTCAGGTGTGATATTTTTATGGCATGTATAAAATACTCAGGGAAACTGTACTCAGTTTTCCCATGCAATGACAGACTGGTTTCCTAAGATTAGAATGACAATTGTCCTTTTCCAGTTAAATTAAAGGAGTTGCCAGGTTTCCCCCTCCCTGCCCCAAACATTTAATGCCTACCCACTATGTATAGAGTCATAACTAAGTTAAAAGTAAATCAATATTCATCAACCTAAGTGTCAATCTGCTCAGAACACTTTCAGCTATGCTGTTTTCATTTGTCTCTAAACCCTTAAGTGGGAAAAAGTAAGATGTCTGCTTTATTGACAAAGAAACAGATGCTCAGAGAAAGTTAATAATTTTTTGTCAGTGTAGCACACTGGATAAGTGGACTTTTATCCAAATCCACTGGACCACCCTAAAATTCTCAATCTTTATTTATGCCATGAACATGACTATTAAGCAACGTAAGGTCTCTCATAATTCCTTATGGAAGGGGGTAGATTGAAAGCAAGCAGTCACAGTAAATCTGCTTGGCTGAGCTTGAGGTTTCAAAGCAATGGTTCTCAGATGGCTGGGAGCATTGGCCAGGCGCGGTGGCTCAGGCCTATAATCCCAGCACTTTGGTAGGCTGAGGTGGGGGTATCACTTGAGGTCAGGAATTTGAGAGCAGCCTTGCCAACATGGTGAAACCTGTCTCTACTAAAAATACAAAAATTAGCTGGACGTGGTGGCCCGTGCCTGTAACCCCAGCTACTTAGGAGGCTGACGCCAGAGAATTGCTTGAACACAGGAGGCAAAGGTTGCAGTGAGCGAAGATCATACCACTGCCCTTCAGCCCGGGCGACTGATGAGTAAGACTGTCAAAAAAAAAAGATGGATGGGAATGTTAGGATCATCTAAAGAGATTATAAAAAACACCAATGTCTGGGTGGCCCCCAGAGGTTCTGCATCAGTATTTTCTGAAATCACTCACGGTAATTCGGCCAGGGGTTAGAAAAACTGCTTTAAAAAGAACAGATACTTCTATCCATAACGGAAGATTCATATTTTTTAAAATTACCTTTTCTTCTGACATTTGACATTTATCTAGGATTATGATAATTACATTAATTAGTTCTAGTCCATCTTTGTTCTGGCTACATTTTAGGTATTCAATAAACACTAATTTTCAGTTTCCCTTCCCCGTCACTTTTTTTATGAACAATAATAATTTGGAATTTGACTTTGTATCTCCTCTATATGGTGCTCACAACATTCTTGACATCCTATTTCTGAATTCCTAAAACCAAAAATATCAAAATACTTATATAGGCTTTTCCTCTAGGTTTATCCTCTAAGAACTGGTATTTAAGTCATACCTGGCGTCTTTGAAGCCTAGATAAAACCAAGACACGAGACAAGTGGCAAAGGCTACATCTTAGGAGGATGGGAGGGGGCTGACCAAGGCTTGTCCCCTATTTTAACTTTCTGTACTTCTTCCCTTTTTCCAGTTTTTAATTCTGCTTCTGAATACACAATGTTTTGCTGAATCGTTTAAGTGAATCCCCACTCTAGGGGAAATACAGATGCCTGAAATCACTTTCTAAAGCCAGGCCCTTTGTAGTGATGAGAACTCAAAAATAATACATCCGGGCGTGGTGGCTCACGCCTGTAATCCTAGCACTTTGGGAGGCCAAGGCAGGTGGATCACTTGAGGTCAGGAGTTTGAAACCAGCCTGTCCAACATGGTGAAACCCCGTCTGTACTAAAATTACAGAAAAAATTAGCCAGGCGTGGTGGCAGGGCCTAATATCCCAGCTGCTTGGGAGGCTGAGGCAGAACTGCTTGAACCTGGGAGGCGGAGGTTGCAGTGAACCCAGATTGCACCACTGCACTCCAGCCTGGGAAACAAAGAAAGGCTCCGCTTAAAAAAAAAAAAAAAAAAAAAAATATATATATATATATATATATATATATATATATATATATACATGAAAATAATAAATGGCCAAAAATAAACCTATGGCACTTCTTGGTGAGTAAATTTAATAACTGCACATTAAAAAAAACACCAATGTCTGGGTGGCCCCCAGAGGTTCTGCATCAGTATTTTCTGAAATCACTCACGGTAATTCGGCCACAGTAGCATGGAAGAATCAGGATTTGAATTAGACTCCAAATCCATTATTCTAAACTTTCGGCTGGAAGTACAATGATTAAAGTGTTTCCCAGATGGCAGAGCCTGACAAGTTTGTCCATCTCCATGATATACAGTTTTCTCATCCATAAAATGGAAATAATAATAGTATCTATCTCTTAGGGTTATGGAAAGAATTAAATGAGATAATATATGTGAAGTACAATGTCCCTCAACATAACTCTATAGTAACCACCTTATTCTGAACTCATAAAAGGCAGGTCTGAAGAACACAACACACAAATCCTCTAGGAGCTGCAACATTATTCCAGCAAAGGAAAAGAAAAAGCATTCCCTTGCTTCATTTCTGCTGATTTTGAAATAATCATCACTGACTAACAACTTCATTGAAACAATATAAAAGTTTCTCTTTTTTTTCTTTTAGAGATGGGGTCTCGCTATGTTGACCAGCCTGGTCTCGAACTCCCAGGCTCAAGCAATCTGCCCTCCTTGGCTTCAAGGTGCTGGGATCACAGGCGTGAGCCACTGTGCCTGGTCTAAGAGTTTATTTTTGGAAAAACAAACACTAACTTTCATTCCATTTTCTATGCCAAATTCTGTATCTTCTTCTGCCCTCATGACTGACTCATGAAATAAAGATGTGTACAGTCTTTCTAACATAGTGGCTCTCAACCGGCGGGTTGTTTTGGCCACCCACCTCCACCCTAAGAGGATATTTGGCAATGTCTGGAGACTTTTTTGGTTCAGAACTGGGCTGGAGGCAGGGGATGGGGCGGTGATATTGACATCAACTGAGTAGAGACCAGGGATGCTGCTAAATAACCCACACTGCACAGGAAAGGCCCCACAGCCAAGTGTGCATATGTTATTAGTGCTGAGGTTGGGAAGTCCTGCTCTAACTCTATGCTGATGACTGATCACTGCAGAATGCGGGCCACTGGCCACTTAAAGCATCAGGGCCAAATTCAGAGTAAACAGTTGGGGGTCAAGAGACCAGACATGAAGATGAGGGCAGTTAAGATCCAGTCAAGATTCAATGAAGGCCTGTAATCCCAGCACTTTGGGATGCTGAGGCGGGTGGATCACGAGGTCAAGAGATCGAGACCATCCTGGTCAACATGGTGAAACCCCGTCTCTACTAAAAATACAAAAACTTAGCTGGGCATGGTGGCGCATGCCTGTAATCCCAGCTACTCGGGAGGCTGAGGCAGGAGAAATGCGTGAACCCAGGAGGCGGAGGTTGTGGTGAGCTGACATCGCGCCATTGCACTCCAGCCTGGGTAACAAGAGCGAAACTCCGTCTCAAAAAAAAAAAAAAAAAAAAAAGATTCAATGAAGTGGGAAGTACACAAAACAGGGAGGAACTAGATCTCGGTGGTCAGAAGAAATAATTGAAGCTCAAGAATACGAAAGTATGAAAGTTGAAATTTTCCAGAGACAGTGGCAAGCCCAACCATCTTTTTTTTCTTTTTCTTAGACAGAGTCTTGCTCTGTTGCCCAGGCTGGAGTGCAATGTCGAGATCTTGGATCACTGCAATCTCTGCCTTAGCAGAGGTTCAAGCGATTCTCCTGCCTCAGCCTTCCAAGTAGCTGGGATTACAGGCACCCACCACCAAACCTGGCTATATTTTTGGTATGTTTAGTAGGGGAGCTGGTGGTTCACCATGTTGGCCAGGCTGGTCTTGAACACTTGACCTCAATTGATCCACACGCTTTGGCCTCCCAAAGTGCTGAGATTACAGGTGTGAACCGCCATCCCTGGCCCCATCCTTTAGTGAGTGTGATCAAATAGCAGAGACTTTGCCCTGTCTTTTTGTATAATTTACACTTAAACTGTGATCTTAAGATCTAGGATTTTAGGGTGAATAGATTAAAAAAAGACTGCATATGCTCCTGAGACTTGAAACAGATCAAGAACGTGTAATAACATGTGCAAATGGTTCTACTTTATTTTTCAGATGTTTCTTTCATCACTTTTCAGTGTAATCACGATCATTGGTGCTGGGTATTGCATTGCGATATCCACCCTGGCTCTCTTAGAAGGTCCTCTCATGTGTAATTCTCAAGTCAACAGTACTGCCAATTGTAAATTTTCATTGACAAACGTCAGGTGAGTAACCTGATTTTCACTGGCTTACTGTCTTATACAGTTAAACTAGTTTGATTAGACTAATGCAGTATTGAAACAATGCCATGTTTTTATTTGATATAACTGCTGGGACAAACAGATTCTTAGGAATTTAGTAAATTAACGCCAGTTAGCACAACCCCACATAGAAATGGAGGAAGCTCTAGATTTACAATGCTCTCAAAGGGCCTTTAGATACTGCCTTAAAGGACTAGTTGATCTCAAATGGCTTATGCTTGTCTTTTAAAAATCTACAGTCACCTATGTGTATGTATATTAAAAAATTCTGGAAATTTACACTAGAAACTTAACTTTCATCCTTGGAGAATGGAAATAGAGAACGCCCTAGGAGAGTGAAGAGAACATTTACTTTCAACACTTCTGAACTAATTAAAATTGTAAACCATAAGTAAATATTACATAATTTAAAAAATTCAATAAAAACACAATAAATAAAATGCAGAGCCTTGCCTGTAGGCTCTAAATGGAATACAGCAGCCAGTAGATTCATACAGACATACTATAAATATACTGCATGCATGGGAATGAATCCAAAATTTAAGTTATGTAATAACAAATAATACTGGAGATTTACATGTACTTAATAAGTGGCTCATTTTAGTCTCTTAAGATCATTCTGTGAGTGAATCTAGACACAATTTGTAAAAACTGGAAGGAAAAAACAATCTAATCCATTAGTGATCTGTATAGACGGCTCAGTTTAGCAAATAACCAAGATTTACTTTTGTAGTTATGTAAAAAAATTGTCTTTCTCCTTTTCCCTTACCTTGCTACATTAAAGAAGAAAAGTTCCTCAGAATTTGTGCAGCATATTTGTTTTGAATCAAAACCCAAGGAAGGCCGGGCACAGTGGCTCATGCCTGTAATCCCAATACTTTGGGAGGCCAAGGAGGTGGTTCGCTTGAGGTCAGGAGTTTGAGACCAGCTGGCCAACATGGTGAAACGCCATCACTACTAAAAATACAAAAATTAGCCATGCGTGGTGGCACATGCCTCTAGTCCCAGCTACTCAGGAGGCTGAGGCAGGAGAATTGCTGGAACCTGGAAGGTGGAGGTTGCAGTGAGCCAAGATCAAGCCACTGCACTCCAGCCTGGGTGACAGTGAGACTCTTTCTCAAAAACAAAGCCAGGGAGTCTCCTTACTGATAGACTTAAGGTAAAAGGTTAAAGATTTCCACCACAGATGCTATGCACATTAAATCCTCAGGGAATGAAAACCCACAATGTACCAGGGACCAGGCTAAGCTCTGCAGATAACAGCACTCAGATATTCTCAGTCTAGCTGGGGAGATGGGCTAGGCTAGTCAAGTTACAAGAGAGGGATCCTTGGCTTGCTACACATTTCACAAGACAGACTCACATTCCATGTGCTGAAAATATTGTTGTTTTCCCAGGTTGAATGTCAGTTGCTGGTGTCCAGCAGTGCAAACTCCCTAAGAACATTCTACCTTACTCTACAATAAACAAACAAACATACATCTTGAGATAGATGTGTTGGGGCTAAAAGTTTCTCATTTTCCACAGCCCCGTTAAAAACAGGCACATCACTTTCACATATTTAGAATGTCTTTTGTGAATAAAAATTGTATATCTGGTTGAAGAGCAGACACAACACTGCAGTTCTGCACTAAGAACTGAGCTCACCGAAAGCGGGGCGGGGAGGCTCCTTAGTTTTTGTATCTGGCAAGTAGAAGAGTATCTGAGTAAATGAAATAAATAGGTTGAACCATGAAAAACTGTTAACATTCAACTCTTTCTGACATCTAAAAACAGCAATTTTATACAGTTCGACCTAAGAGAAGATGTACTATAGAGATGCTTGTTAAATGACGGGCTATATAAGAAGAAGTTTTATAACTAGTAGAGTATAGACATATGCTCAGAAACCTCTGTTATCATTTCTGGGCACACTATTTCAAAAGTACATTCTGTTTTACTAGTTCTTTTATGGGCATAATGCTACTTTCCTTTGATCGGTGATATTTCTAAATATCTGATTTTTATCTTTCGCTTTTCAGTTACATTCATCCAGAATCCTTCGACTTGCAGTGGTTCTTCAATGACTCTTGTGTACCTCCTACTGGCTTCAGTAGCCCCACCAGTAATGACATCACGGCCAGTGGCTGGAGAGCAGCTAGTTTGCACTTCAATTCTGAAGAAAACAAACACAGGCTTATCCACTTCTCAGTATTTGTAGGTCTATTGCTTGTTGGAATTCTGGAGCTCCTGTTTGGGCTCAGTCAGATAGTCATTGGTTTTCTTGGCTGTCTGTGCGGAGTCTCTAAGCGAAGAAGTCGAATTGTGTAGTTAAATGGGAATAAAATGAAATCATCAGTAGTTTGAGTAATTTGAGAAGTACACTTGTTTTCAGGGGACTTAAAAACTCAACCTTTCACATAGAAAGCATGTTGTAAAGGCATAACGCTTTCATACTGGTGGTTGATTTGGGAAAGGTGGAGAGAATTTTCAATGAGTTTTATATCGTGCTATTCAAATTTTTTACCTCTTCATCGTGTGGGGAGAAGGGAGGGAAGACGAGAAGGAATAGAAGTCATTCTGAAAATAAAAGTATGAGACCTTTTTTTTTGAGACAGGGTCTCTAAAAAGGCTGGAGTACAGTGGTACCATCTCAACTCACTGCAGCCTCAACTTCCTGGGCTCAGGTGATTCTCCCACCTCAGCCTCCCTAGTAATTGGGACTACAGGCACGTGCCATTATACCAAGCTAATTTTTGTATTTTTAGTAGAGATGGGTTTTTGCCACGTTGCCCAGGCTGGTCTCAAACTCCTGGACTCAAGTGATCTGCCTGCCTCAGCCTCCTCAAGTGCTGCAATTACAGGCCTGAGCCACCGTGCCCAAAGTACAAGACCTTTTTATTGTATTTCTTTAAGGAATAAATATATAACCGGAATGTTATCAACTCTTTAGATCTAATTCTCAGCTTGCAGGAAACACTCAGATGAATCCAAAAAGTGGGTCGGTAAACAAAGAATGGCCCCATTTTCAACAAGAAAATGTTATAAAAGCAAGATATTTTTGAGGAAACTGCTCCAGATTAAGAGAATAGAGACATGTTTCAGTTCAACACATGTAAACTTTGTCAGAGATAAAGGGAAGAATATGTAGAATTGGATTTGATGATATTAAGGAATCATTAATTTTGGTAGGTCTGATAATGGTTTTATATTATACAGGCTGAGTATCACTTATCCAAAATGACTGGAGATCAGAAGTGTTTTAGCTTTCAAATTGTTTTGAATTTTGGAATTATGCATATAATATTGAGAGATCCTGGGGATGGGATGCAAGTCTAACCACAAAATTCATTTATGTCTCATACATACTTCGCACACTTGGCCTGAAGGTAACTGCACACAACATTTTAAATAATTTTGTGAGTGAAATAAAGTTTTGACTGCAACTCAAAACACGAGGTCAGGTGTGTCATTTTCCACTTGTGATGTTATGTTAGTAGCTCGGAAAGTTTTGGATCTTGGAGCACTTTGGATTTTGAATTTTTGGGTTAGTGATGCTCAACCTGTATACAAAAATGTCTTTTCTTTTTTTTTTTTTTTTTTTTTTTTAAAGAAATGTATATTTATACATTCGGTGAGAAAATAAGTTTAAAAATACTTCAACCAAAACTGTGAAGCAATGGAAAAATGTTTATGGTTATATTTAAGTGATAGGTACATGACAATTCATTAGACTCTTCTATTTTCCTATGTTTACATTGTTCATTAATTAAAAAACAATACCTAGAAAAACCTAAGTCTTTCAAAAGCTGTTTTCTATATGTGCCAATCTTTAAAAATCAGGATAACAAGTGTATTTATTTATCACATTAAAATGTTATAAAACAAAAAAACTAAACATCTAAAATTTTCTGAATATTTCCATATTTTATTTCAATTGTTTATGTTCATTGGGCTTAAGGTTCTAGAAATAATTTACAGTACCTGTATTATAGCTGCCTAAATATAGTAACATCGAGCTTATAATCCTTTTTTTTTGAACATTTACTGTATATTCTCCCTACACCCCTACAAATACTTATTTGTCCTTAAGGCCTAGCTTAAATATCTCCTACTTGAGGAAGCCTTCCCAGTGCTCAAGATTCAATAAACCAAGTTAGCACTTACCCAAGCCTCTGTTATCATACCCTGTCATAATGTAACATAATGTGTTTGTACATCCATCACTATAGTATTTAGAAGCACAGGAACCACAGTTCTTAATCAGCCCTCTCCGATTCAAGTCCTTAGCAAGGCCTCTTGTTTCCCCACCCCTGGCCCCATTCCTACCTGACCTGCCTCATCTCTGGCAGAATCCTTTCTAACCTTGACTTCAGCACAAATACCACTTTTTCTGAGCAGCTATTCCTAACCATCTAACGAAAACTAAGTTTCCCTTTACTCTTTTTCCATGCTTTCATTTACAGCATTTATCACAATGATGACTGCATTTTCATTTGTGCTTGCTTCTTAAATTTCAAGGTCTCCCATTAGACCATAAGCTACAAGGGTACAGAAACATGTTTATTCCTTCCTGGTATCAACGGTACTTAGTACAGTGCCTGGGACAAAGCAGAAACACTGTACTTAGTTGAATGACTTAATGAATTCTATCTTCAGTACCCAGCTTTTAGTGAAGACTAAAAACTTATTAAATGAACTGTCAGACTGCTAATAGTGTCATTTTTAATGTTAAGTATTTATGTGTGAAAAAGTGTTAAGAAACAATGACTGTTTATTGGTAGCATATACATTCAGAATCAGGAATGACAGTGATGCTGAACAACCTGACTGTCTGCATGTGTGGCTGAGATATCACTGTGACATCTTTGCTCTTTGCTTTCTGATGGTTCTGTGTACACAAACTTTGTTTCATTCATAAAATTTGAAATACTGTATAAAATTATCTTTAGGTTATGTGTGTAAGGTATATGTGAAACATAAATGAATTTCATGTTTAGACTTGGGTCCCATCCTTAACATATCTCATTATGTATATGTAAATTGACATCTGAAAACATCTGAAATTCAAAAACACTTCTGGGCCAAAGAATTTTGGATTAGGGCTGGGCAATCAGTATAGTTAAGGAGCTAGAAACACATTCATGCAGGAAAGGAAGGAGAAAGGAAAGTTCTCTTGAAAATATACTACTTCCATGATGTTCTCTCTCAAAGTATAAACAACCTGCAAGTATTTCAACCAAAATTACCAGCAGTGGGGAGGGGGCACTTTCAGTAGTGCAGCATTAACATATTTGCTATACTTAGTTGTATGAGCCTACTATGGCTCCTGACTGTATCCATTTCTCCCTCTCTTCTCTGTACTCTATTCTCTACGTATTTTTCTTTTTTCTCTGCTTGTTGAAAGGCTCATCAGCTCAAATATCTGGTTATACTAACCAGGAGTGAATTTGTTCCTCTCAACTCCAAAATATATTTTAACAGTAATGAACAATGTTTAGGGGAAGTACACAGGTATGAGAGAGCTGAAGTTTGGAGTTAGGGAGATTCAAGCTTTTCTACTTTTAGATATATGCCAAGGTCAGGTATAGCAGGTTCCTTTTTTGTCCTCTTTTGCATGGTAAAAAAGAGTTCTCAGTCACGCTTCCAGCAAGGGTGTAGTCTACTGGGGTCCTAGCTTCATTCACAAGTCTCCTCTTATATTTAGTGCCTGCCTGAGGTAGGCAATTCTATCTTGTATCCATCCCTTGCTCAACCATTAAGGGAGAAAGCTCTGAGTTTACAGTCTTTGGTTAACAATCGTGAGAGAAAAAAGGAGCTTTTGCACTTCTCTCTCAGGATTCCTGCTTTTATTTCATTTTTGGCCTCTGCGGAATCCTTTTCATGCCTGTCTATCAAAAGATACTAATCTTAACCATCATTTTTTATCATTTTTGTGATTTCAATTTGGAGGATAACCACAGAAATTACCTTGCGGCAAATACAAACCTAGAATTAATATAATTGCATCATTACCAAAAGTTAGAAAATGTCTAAGTACAGAGAATCTTTGTCTTAATATTATTTTAGAGGGATAAGAAGCAAGAACAGAAATGTTAAATCTAACTCTATCCAAGCGATTTCCTCAACTGCCTTTCCCAAAACTTCCTGCCTTGGTAAAAAAGATACCAAAGACGTGTGGAGAATGTTACCTAACTAAATTCTTCCCATTTCTGAACCAAAAATAGGGCAATAAAAGTTTTGAGTTAAAACTGTCCAACACTTGGTTTTACTGGTGGATTTAATTCTTTTGAGATTTACTTTTAAAGTTAAATTTTTTTTTTTGAGACAGTTGGGCTCTATCGCTCAGGTCGGAGTGCAGCGGCGCAATCTCAGTTCACTGCAACTTCTGTCTTCCAGGTTCAAGCGATTCTCCTGCCTCAGCCTCCCGAGGAGTTGGGATTACAGCTGTTGCCACCATGCCTGCCACCATATCTGCCTAACTTTTGTATTTTTGGTAAAGACAGGGTTTCACTGTATTGGCCAGGCTGGTCTCAAACTTCTGACCTCAAGTGATCCGCCCGCCTTGGCCTCAAATAGTGTTGGGATTACAGGCATGAGCCACTGCACCTAGCTTTGAGATGGGCATCAGTATATATAATTAGCAAATAAATACCACAATGGAAAAAGTATACACAACTTTGGCCAGGTGCAGTGGCTCATGCCTGTAATCCCCACACTACGGGAGGCCAAGGCAGGTGGATCACCTGAGGTCAGGAGTTCGAGATCAGCCTGGCCAACATGTGAAACCTCCTATCTACTAAAAATACAAAAACTAGCTGGGTGTGGTGGCAGGTGCCTGTAATCCCAGCTACTTGGGAGGCTGGGGCACAAGAATCGCTTGAACCTGACAGGTAGAGGTTGCAGTGAGCGAAGATCATGCCACTGCACTCCAGCATTGGCAATAGAGTAAGACTCCATCTCAAAAAAAAAAAAAGTATACACAACTCAAAGTATTTAAACCGGAACCATTTTCTAGATACTATACATTAGAAAACCACCTACAATGCAACCAACAGCCACTACTACCAGGATGAAGGTCTGAGAGGAAGCACAGTAGGTTCTTGCTACCTACCCAACCATGTCATTAATTGTATTACTTGCTCCTGAGATGGGAAGAATCATATAAGGTCACAGGATACAAAATTTAGCTGATCGCACAAATGATGAAATAAAATCCCTCAATAGACAAATACCACTTTGGTTGATAGTTTATTAAATACACTACATTTGTATCTTATTCTGTCGGTTTTTAAATTGTTCACACATGAACTAAGTAAAAACGTACTTTATAGAAAATCAAGTGCAAAACTAAAATGAAGGAATGCACATACTGCACACATATTTAACTGCTGAAATGTTAGAAATTAATCTGTACAAGTACCTAATGAAGGAGATTATGAAATATTAGGTGGTTGACTTTCTTAAATCTGGCACCAAGCCATGACTCTGAAAGTGTTTAGTGTTGAAGTGTAGATGCAAAAATGTCTATTAACAAAACTGTTTAATCGAACAGTTTTGAGAACCAGGACAAAATACTGTTTTTCTTTCACAGACACTTTTCTAAATCAATTCTCTACAGACTCTCTCCCATTCAGAATCAGTTGTGTGGACTAAGGAGGCAAAAAATAAATTCCTTTTAGAAAACCACACTGGAGCCTATTTACAAAACATGCAAAAGGAGAATTTTAAGCAGGTGTTACTGCAAAACTGCTCAAAAGTGAATACAGCAGAGTGACAGAATATACCTGTACTTCTACAAATATAGGTCCTTCCTCCAGACTTTCTGGAAGAAATACATTTTCAGTGTGTGGACTATAAAATAGCATACAATGCAGAGACAGAAACAAAGAAGTTTGCAAATCTTTTATATTTCCAGCTGTTGAGACAAGATTTTTGAGAGCTGATGTTACCTCTAGCGGCGAAACCAGAGCCAGCTATTAAGCAGCCAGAAAGCTACAGTAATTGAATACATGACCATTTCTCTTTTAGCACGTTCTTTGTTCTCCTCTTCCAAAAGTTGTAGACGTCTATTTAGTTTGATTATCTAAGTGAAAAACAAACACACAAAAAATACAACATAGAGGCTTTAATGATTCCTATAAAGTAGTAAAATAATTTGTCAAAAGTATTATAACATGGAAAGTTTCATCTGGAGCAAAATAAATACAACTACATACAGAAAAACATGTCATTCATGACAGCTTAAATTCATTTAAACATCCTTCCCCTTTCCCTTCTTCAGACTTCTGAATTAGGAAGGGTATATTTCCTTCCTACGGGACTCCTTCCCCTTTCTATGCCTCTCCTATGAACTTGTCGCTCAGCCTCAGTTGTTCATATTTAACCTGGCATAAATGCCTTCCCTGTCCACCTCTCTGAGTTACTGAGGCAATCCAATAAAATAACCTATTACAGTGGGCCTTGGGATATGCCACCCAAACCCTTCAGGCCTGAAGGCTAATTCCCCAGCTGCTGGCTGACAGTACCACCCTTGCTGTTAGCCCTTACCGTGAAAAGCCCTGGGCTGAACAACGGACTGCTTAAGCTCATGCTCTCCTACTGATCTTTACTTAAAAATATTTTATTTAATCCAATTTCCTTCTATATCTATTTGGCATAGACACAACGAGAAAACCAAATCTGCCTTCTTTATATGTGTGTATGTCTGTGTGATCTACAAACTGTGGGAGTATGTATTAAAAATATGCATGTGAAACTGCAGTTATAAGAAAGGATTTATTACAGAATACAAGACATATGTACGCAGAGACCCTCTGCAAGCTGAAAGGAGTGGTTTCTAAATGGAGTTATTAAACACAGTAACAAAGGTTCCAAAGTGATTGTTCCACATTTTAAAAGCCAAACTTAGGGCTATACTGGTTTGCTAAAATTTCTTCATTATTGTCTAGAATTACATTAATCTATCTTGGTAATATTGTTTTATGCTGATAAAAACATGTAAATAGTAGTTCAATATGTTTAATCAAAATGAGAAAATCAATTATGGCTTACTAGTTTGATAGATAAAATATTTCAATTCATGGGTCCCACAGGAGAGAAATGGACAAAATGTTGAGAACTATCACTTTAAAATGTTGTAAGACTGTAACTTAGAAGTATATCTTATTTGGTACAATAAATACCTGTCGTCTTAGTGAAGCCGCATCTACAACAGTCAGGTCATCTGATGTTCCTTCAATTGTTGAATCTATATTTGAAATGCCATACCTGCAGATAAGAAATATAAATATAAATGAATATTAAAATAGAACTAAGAGTAATTAGCACGTCATGTCATGTTTAGTGTAATGCTCAAAGTAGTATTCAGAAAACTGGTACCTAATAATATGAATTACTAAATTTTACCACTTGAATTTCTACAAATAAAGGAAAGAAAAAGGTTTAAAATGATAACTACCTATAATACTGAAAAAGGGCACTAAAAATTGGAGAAATGGGAAAAAAATCCTGACTAAAGATACAAATAGAAAATTCTCAAGCCAGAAGGACTGGTGATGCTAAAAAGGATCCCTGGCTGAAAAGGTTTGAGAGCTGCCACTTAGGATAGAATGAAGCAGAATTCTTACGCAAACTTATGTCCATATGCAAGCCCACAGGCACAGACTTACTGGCAGGCAACGCAAAGTAGACTAACTCTAACTGAAGGAAGACTCATCACCTCTTCTCATTGCCTCTTGTCTTGCCATTCCTATTCTTTGCTTCTTGTCTTTTTTTGTTTTTGTTTTTGAGAAGGAGTTTCAATCTTGTTGCCCAGGCTGGAGTGCAATGGTGCAGTCCCTGCTCACTGCAACCTCTACCTCCCTGGTTCAAGTGATTCCCCTGCCTCAGCCTCCCAAGTAGTTGGGATTACAGGCACCTGCCACTACGCCTGGCTAATTTTTGTACTTTTAGTAGAGATGGGGTTTCACCATGTTGGCCAGGCTGGTCTCAATCTCC